AAAGTAATGGTGATTAACAGTAAGCGAAGTAAGGAGATTTGAAAATCCATATTTAAAAAAAAAAAAAGAATTTCCCATTTTCGAGTAACTCTGACACTACAGAAAACAACAAATCCCTCAGTCAAGCAAGAGACGTGCATGATGTTGTTGCGACTCCAACAGGAAGTAAAGTTCGATCGGTGGGATGTGCTGCCTACTTTCCTGACACGCATGGATGATTACGCACTGGTAAGTGGCATCTACAAGAAGATAAATAACGGCGCGCAGCAGAAAATCGGCGGGAACATGTGTTTTTGCTTGACACTGTAAAAGTTTGAAGTCACGAGGTGGTAAGTTCAACAAAGCTAGATTATATTTGGGCCCTAAGTCGTAAGTTAAAATGTGGTAAAGCCTGAAAACTAATTTCAAGTTCTTTACCACGAAAGATAGTTTTTAAGCCGGACGGCATACAAGGTAGTTCGACTTGCTAACATTTCTAGCTGTTGGCCCTGAGGTTGCAAATTTTGTATGAATTCAGGGTTGGCTTAATCGATCAGGACATAGCATGTAACGGATGCTGATTTCGAGGTATTTGGTTCAGATAAAGTAGCAAATTAATTTCTTGTAATATTTAGCTTATAGCTTCAGATTATGATTATCGAGTCATAACAGAAGTCTAGACATGAACCTAAGGCCACAAATCAAAGCGCAAAAGAGAGGGTTGGGCGCTATTTCCTGAAATTCGAGCTTCGCAGCTTTCGCAAAGTTAGATTTGAGTTATCCTGACGCACTGAAGCATGAATATATTCGCAAGATATGGCTACTGCTTAATATGTTTTTATTTGCATAAGTGCAGAACTCATGAAAACATTTACTCGGACGGTCTCTGAAGCTCTGTCGTGATTGAATAGTAGAGACGCCGTGCATTAACTAGAGGCATGCAGTTCAAACAGAGAGGCGAAGCATAACTGTGTGAAGTGCGTGCGCGCATCAGAGCAGACCGTTAGCTTTGAATCTACGCAACAGTGCCCAGACGATCATGGTAATTATGAATAATAATTTTCGAATTGTGCCAATCGTAATCTTAAAACTCACGGGAACGGTGCCAACAGCCGAAATGACACTGGTTGGTTGACTATTGATGCTGGCTGTTGGCAGGGAGCTGGTGATTGGTAGCTGCACTGAATTCATTGCCTGCTGTTGTGTCCTTGCTGACTGTAGAGTCATACCAGCGGGATTCGAATGATCCGCACTAGTAGTACCTGTTTCCGCCTGCAAATTTCCAAAAAATTTAAGATTTCTAAGAACAAAATGGACTTAGCTGCAATTTTTGCGGCATAAGCTCATTCATTTTTTGTCTTTTCTGGAACAGCAAAAAAACGCACACTTCAGGAATATTTGCAATGGAATTTGCTTGCAAAGGAACTTGCCTTTTTTTTATTTTCGCTTATCGCTTTGACAAATTTTTAA